TCTCCTCAACCAGTTAAACGATCTTTAATAGAGAGAGGAAGTTGAGAAAATGGATGATGTAACTATAGCCTTGTGATGACAGAACACCTTAAAGGAAATAATCTCATACTGTACATCCAGGTCTATTCTATCTCTGATATAAACACAGAACCCAACTATGAGGGATCTAAGAACACTGATATACTACAGTACTGTATATCATACTAAATATGGATCTGCTGTTGTAGTAGGGGTCACAATGGGGCAAAATTCTAGCTAAATCTGCTAGATTACATAGATGTTGTTTTAATGGAGTGCAGTGATGAGGTCATCTCTCACGAGACACACACACACACGTGTGTACATCTGGGAGTTGGGAGAGAGCATTGTAAGCGATAGCATCATTACGTCACCTCTTCCTGGATTGGCCTCCAAACACCAGAACATACTGTAACAGCAGCGGGCAAAAATAGATCCCAGTTCCCAAACAAAGCAGTGATGACAGATTTTGTTTGGTTGGAAAATTAAAACCAATCACTCAGGCCGCGATTGGAATTAGATCATTAGGGTATGTTTGGGGTCGACCGTCAACGAGTACAGAGTAACACAAGGAGAGGGGCAGCTGTGGTAGTCATTAGATATAAGGAAGACTCATTCAAATGGATCGTGATACAGATTTAGCACAATAAAGGAAAACTGTATTATTGTTACAACACAATGACGGTCATGGAGTAAGGACACCCTGTCCAGTCGAAAATAATATCAGGTTATACCTGCACGATCTCAAAGGAGGTGTGGTATGACAAACAAATAAAAGGGCCACTGATTTCCAGAACTTTGAGATGCAGCACGCAATTATAAGCGGCATAAAACCGAATAGTTCAATGAACATTATTAGAACATTTCATCCACCATGAAATGCCTGTTAAAATATCTGTACGTGTGGGTGTAGCAGGGCTGTTGAATTGAACACGTGTTAAAGAAGCAGAAGCTTGGGGACATCCCTCCCTTGCTTTATTGACCTTTAGGAGAGAGAGAGAGAGAGAGAGAGAGAGAGAGAGAGAGAGAGAGAGAGAGGCGAGCTGCACCCACCTACCCAGACTGAATGATGATGTCGTGCCACCCCCCTCCAGACCAGTGGTGGATTCATCGCTGTAGCACCACACCACAGCCCCCCTGGGCTGCATGCAGCTGTGTCCTCACTACCCTGCACCCGAGAGAGGCAGGTGGAGGGACTTTAGGAGGGAGGAGGTAGTGGGGTTAGGGTCAGGGGTAATGTGGTTACAAGCCCAGTTAACTGCTCCAATCCAATTGGATTGCCCCCCCCCCTTCGTTCTTGATTAGGGGTTGTTGCATCATTTTACTCCCACCAGGACAGACAGACCACCACTCTTTCCTCCCTCGCTACCCCCTCCAATAGTCTAGTTATTCACCCCCTCCTGTAGTATCTCCCTCTCTCTCTCTCCTCTAGTATCTTCCCCCATTCTCTCTCTAATATCTTCCCCCTCTCTCGCTCTTTCTCTATCTTCCCCCCTCTCTCTCCATCTAATATCTCCCCCCCCTCCCTCCTTTATCTCCCCCCTCTCTATCTACCCCCTCTCTATCTTCCCCCTCGCTCTCTCCTCTAATACAGTATCTTCCCCCCTCTCTCTCTCCTCTAGTATTTCCCCCCTCATATATCTTCTCCATCTCTCTACTCTAGTATCTCCCCCCCATATATCTTATCCCCATCTCTCTCCTCTAGTATCTCCCCCCTCATATATCTTCCCCCCCCCCCCCCCCCCCCCCCCCCCCCCCCCCCCCCCCCCCCCTCCAAGCATCCACTCCTCTCTCCCACCTCCTTCAGTGTGCAGCTCAGGCCTAGGGGGGAGACCAGTCCCATCGATCATGGCCAATTACCACAGCAACCCTCTCAGGACAGCAGTGACAGTCAGACCTGGGTTCAAATACTATTTGAAATCACTTCAAATTCTTTATTTGGCCGGTATTGAGCTTGCCTGGCGCCATGGAACCAGTAGAATAGTCGCACACCTGTAAACCCAGTCCATCTAGAACCACAGGCAGGCCAAATCAACAGTTTAAAGTATTTGAAAGATTTCACATAGTATTTGAACCCAGGTATGCTGTCCACAGATCTCCAATAACCTCTCCTCTACTATATACTACACTTTATGAGTCCTCTGAATAGGCTGGAGAGGATAGCTGAGAAAGCGGTTGGTTGGTCCCCATAGGACAGTGATATGGAGGGGGTCACCTTCTGGAAAATGACAGTGGCTGCATCTGAAATCACACCCTATTTCCTGTATAGTGTACTACTTTATACCAGAGGGTCAACCAACCGATCTCTCCACCATGTCACCCAGACTCCATTTCAAATCAAATCAAATGTTATGTCACATGCTTTGTAAACAACAGGTGTAGACTAACAGTGAAATGCTTACTTATGGGCCCTTCCCAACAATGCTGAGAGAAAATAAATAGAAATAACTGGAGAGAATAAAATCAAAACATGTTCAGAAGCAGCCAGTGTCACCTTGTTGTGTACCAAGCTCAGAGTTTCCAAACGTTTCCCCTCCTATTCAAAGGGAGGAATCCCTAGCCCTCAGTCTGCTGTGACAGTCATCTTCATTAACGTTGAACATAATGAACATCAACGTAAAACTATTTCTTAGTGTTAAGTGTTATAGTGGATATTTAGCCCCATCTAATGGTTGACTTTTAATAAACTACAACATAGAATACTAGTTCGGATATTCTGTCATTTGCACCTTTAAAAAGGCAAGATTCATCCATTTTGAATGTTATATTGTTTTTGTGCATCTCTGAGTGATGTTTTATCTACGCTGGAAATTAATAGGAATACAACTTTTAGATCACGAAAACGTATCATTCACGCGGGAGGTTGTCTTCTCTCAAATGACCCATTTATATTTTGACGATATTCCTACATCGAGAAATATGTAATTTAATAGAGGGTCCACTACATTTCTCCTATATATCTGCCTCTTAAAGCCAGGGTGCCGTTGCTAATGTCAGACTGCGCCCTGCGAGCCACTGCTGGGCACATGGTGAGATTTTACACTCCTAAATTGATAGTAGTTTGTTTAGGCGATTGTACAGCTAACTAGCTACTTCACATGCTGATATTAACTTTGGTATTATTGTACAGTGAGGGAAAAAAGTATTTGATCCCCTGCTGATTTTGTACGTTTGCCCACTGACAAAGAAATTATCAGTCTATAATTTTAATGGTAGGTTTATTTTAACAGTGAGAGACAGAATAACAACAAAACAATCAAGAAAAACGCATGTCAAAAATGTTATAAATTGATTTGCATTTTAATGAGGGAAATAAATATCTGACCCCTCTGCAAAACATTACTTAGTCCTTGGTGGCAAAACCCTTGTTGGCAATCAGAGGTCAGACGTTTCTTGTAGTTGGCCACCAGGTTTGCACACATCTCAGGAGGGATTTTGTCCCACGCCTCTTTGCAGATCTTCTCCAAGTCATTAAGGTTTCGAAGCTGACGTTTGGCAACTCGAAACTTCAGCTCCCTCCACAGATTTTCTATGGGATTAAGGTCTGGAGACTGGCTAGGCCACTCCAGGACCTTAATGTGCTTCTTCTTGAGCCACTCCTTTGTTGCCATGGCCATTTGTTTTGGGTCATTGTCATGCTGGAATACCCATTCACAACCCATGTCCAATGCCCTGGCTGAGGGAAGGAGGTTCTCACCCAAGATTTGACGGTCCCGTCCATCGTCCCTTTGATGCGGTGAAGTTGTCCTGTCCCCTTAGCAGAAAAACACCCCCAAAGCATAATGTTTCCACCTCCATGTTTGACGGTGGGGATGGTGTTCTTGGGGTCATAGGCAGCATTCCTCCTCCTCCAAACACGGCGACTTGAGGCGATGTCAAAGAGCTCCATTATGGTCTCATCTAACCACAACACTTTCACCCAGTTCTCCTCTGAATCATTCAGATGTTCATTGGCAAACTTCAGACGGGCATCTATATGTGCTTTCTTGAGCAGGGGGACCTTGCGGGCGCTGCAGGATTTCAGTCCTTCACAGCGTAGTGCGTTACCAATTGTTTTCTTGGTGACTATGGTCCCAGCTGCCTTGAGATCATTGACAAGATCCTCCTGTGTAGTTCTGGGCTGATTCCTCACCGTTCTCATGATCATTGCAACTCCACGAGGTGAGATCTTGCATGGAGTCCCAGGCCGAGGGAGATTGACAGTTTTTTTGGGTTTCTTCCTTTTGCGAATAATCGCACCAACTGTTGTCACATTCTCACCAAGCTGCTTGGCGATGGTCTTGTAGCCCATTCCAGCCTTGTGTAGGTCTACAATCTTGTCCCTGACATCCTTGGAGAGCTCTTTGGTCTCGGCCATGGTGGAGAGTTTGGAATCTGATTGATTGATTGCTTCTGTGGACAGGTGTCTTTTATACAGGTAACAAACTGAGATTAGGAGCACTCCCTTTAAGAGTGTGCTCCTAATCTCAGCTCGTTACCTGTATAAAAGACACCTGGGAGCCAGAAATCTTTCTGATTGAGAGGGGGTCAAATACTTATTTCCCTCATTAAAATGCAAATCAATTTATTACATCTTTGACATGCGTTTTTCTGGATTTGTTTGGTTGTTATTCTGTCTCTCACTGTTCAAATAAACCTACCATTAAAATTATAGACTGATCATTTCTTTGTCAGTGGGCAAACGTACAAAATCAGCAGGGGATCAAATACTTTTTTCCCCTCACTGTATGTAGCTACATTTACTAGCTCGCAGCCAGCCCATAGAGCATTGCATGTTTTGTAGTCGACTTGAGCTGCAACAGATTTTCCACGTTGCTACCAACCTTATTATAATGACAAAATAAACATTTGTTCACAAAAAAATATTCAGTGTTATTTAACACAGTAAATTAAAGCAATTGTGGTTTTGGGTGGATTTTCCCTTTAAAGCTGTATGGCAAAGTAAGAAATTGCTTTGATAAATGCTATAAGCTTGAATCTTGGTCTGGAGGACAAATTTAATTATGGAATAACACAATTGTCATTAACTATAACACATTGACAAGAACTGGATAGAGACACTTTTAATTGTTGAATGCAGAATATGAAGGTACATTGACTTTAATTGCAGTAAATAGATAATGTATTACTTCAGATGTCCATTTTCTGATGGAGAACCAACGAACCACAGTAGTCTGCCACCCTCTTGTGGACAAAATCCACAATTTCACTTCATTCAAAAAACACCACCATGCTCAGGAAATGGGGTTTGTTTATTCATAAGATATTCTTTTAAAAAATCACATGAATTGAATGACTTTGATAAAACACTCCTTTGGCTCCCAAAGGTAGGTGTGTGTGGGCGAGTTTGTTTTGCATAGCCCGCTGCTCACGGGTGGATGAAGATTTCACTTTAGGACCAATGGTCTAATATGTAAACCCCGCCCACCCAGGGCACCAGGCAATGCAAAACTAACTCGCCTTGTGTGTGTGGCATTAATCTGGTGGTCCACCCAGGTTGGGGCTCTCTAAGCCATCAGCCCAAGGGGGGCCAGTAGGGTAGGGCTACATTCCAAATATCCACACTAACATACCACTTAGAACGGAGCAATGTAGCATGGAATGCTAGTATGGGTATTGGAACAGCCATACAGGTGTCAGGGCTTGAGGAGGATGGATATGGAGGTCTCTCTGATGGAGGGAGGGAGGGATTGGTCCTTTAGTCGTCCAGGAAGAAGTAGTTCCCACTCTTCTTCTGTTCACAATCCTAGATATACAACATAGAGATTGGGTTACAGAGAAACCACAATCCTAGATATACAACATATAGATTGTATAGCTTGGGTTAGAGGAGAGCAAAGGACAGAAAACTGGAGTTGTGCTGAATGAATTAACTGAATGAAAGGCAATAATAGTCAATACGTTACTAAAAGCACAAAATGGATGTAAATAAATGTAGGTTTTCCCCTGTACCTTTATGGAATTCATCTTGTTGATCCTTGGTCGGAAGTTGTTGGGGTCTCTCCTGAACGTGATCTCCAGTTGTGATAGGAACTTGTTCATCCCTGCGAGTAAGGTCTGTGGCCTGAGAGGTCAAAAGATGACAGGGCCTGTGTTACACGCATCCTTAAGAGCTAAACATGGGTTCCTAACAACAACCCATATCTTAGCATGCTTTCAGTGTCTTGTCATGAAAATACCACTTTCCTGTCAGACTGGAACATGAATTTCACAGTCAAGATTTGCCTATATTTTGAAGTGGGGAGTTTGACAGTTTGCTTACAAATCACCCAATAATCAGTTTGAAGGAGGTAAGAGTTCCATCAAGATAGAGGAAGAGAAACAATAGCTTGAAGAAAGCAGATATTAAGAGCCACCACAGATAGGAATACCAGACATGTTGGGTAAATCAGTGGATGAGACTATCAAACCAAATGATGGGAAGGGTTGACGTACGTGTTGGCAGCGGTGCTTCGTGAGGGAATACCGTCGAACACGATGACGCGGTCAGCCAGGTAGGTGGCCATGATGAAGTCATGCTCCACCACGAACGCTGTCTTCTTGGCATGGAGGATGAATCTAGAAACAAACAATGAATGTATCAAAATCAATGGCATCCATTTAAGTCCATTAAGGTTTGTGAGGTTATAGAGTTTCTGTATTTCCTGTCAAACTAATCAAAACACAGATGATTAAAAAGACAAAGGTGTGTGAATGGTACTGCCGTGAGCAATGCAAAGCACTAGATGGATCTCTTAGCTGGAGGTAGAAGTTCACCTTAAACACAGATCTAGGATCAGAGTGTGTGTATGTGTACAGGTGTGTGTGGTTACCTTTTGATGACCTTGGCGCACACGAGACGCTGCTCAGAGTCCAGGTAGGCGGAGGGCTCATCTATCAGGTAGACATCAGCTGGTTTCCCCAGACACAGAGCCATCGCCACCCTCTGCAACTCTCCTCCAGACAGGTTCTGGACCTACAGAGACAAGCAGGGGGGTGTTCATTAGACACCAAACAGAAGAAAACGGATTGAAACAGGGAGGGACTACCTGAACTGGACTTGTCCAATAAGAAATGCTTGTTTTCATTTTCTGATCTGGTGTGTATGGTCCATTGGGGCACCGCGTAGAAAAGTGTTTTGCATCAGAATTGTTTTTATTCTGTTTTTACTGGACAAGTTCGAATAGTAGTACCTCCCCGTTTCGCACCGTTGCAAAACATTCTATGCCAACTGAACACAACCCAGAATGCACAACTTACGTCCTGGTCGATGATGCTCTCAATCTGCATAGGCTTCATGACGTCAGTCACAAACTGAGGGTGAGTATAGGCGTCTCGGATCTTCTCATGGAGCAGGGCCCGCACACTACCCTACAGAGACAGAGGGAGTTAGTTAGTCAGGGTCTGAGAGGGGCACACTACCCTACAGAGACAGAGGGAGTTAGTTAGTCAGGGTCTGAGAGAGGCACACTACCCTACAGAGACAGAGGGAGTTAGTTAGTCAGGGTCTGAGAGAGGCACACTACCCTACAGAGACAGAGGGAGTTAGTTAGTCAGGGTCTGAGAGGGGCACACCACCCTACAGAGACAGAGGGAGTTAGTTAGTCAGGGTCTGAGAGGGGCACACTACCCTACAGAGACAGAGGGAGTTAGTCAGGAGATGAGAGGGGCACACTACCCTACAGAGACAGAGGGAGTTAGTTAGTCAGGGTCTGAGAGAGGCACACTACCCTACAGAGACAGAGGGAGTTAGTTAGTCAGGGTCTGAGAGGGGCACACCACCCTACAGAGACAGAGGGAGTTAGTTAGTCAGGGTCTGAGAGGGGCACACTACCCTACAGAGAAAGAGGGAGTTAGTTAGTCAGGGTCTGAGAGAGGCACACTACCCTACAGAGACAGAGGGAGTTAGTTAGTCGGGAGATGAGAGAGGCACACTACCCTACAGAGACAGAGGACATGAGGGAGTTAGTCATGGTCTGAGAGGGGCACACTACCCTACAGAGACAGAGGGAGTTAGTCAGGGTCTGAGAGGGGCACACTACCCTACAGAGACAGAGGGAGTTAGTCAGGGTCTGAGAGGGGCACACTACCCTACAGAGACAGAGGGAGTTAGTCAGGGTCTGAGAGGGGCACACTACCCTACAGAGACAGAGGGAGTTAGTTAGTCAGGGTCTGAGAGGGGCACACTACCCTACAGAGACAGAGGGAGTTAGTTAGTCAGGGTCTGAGAGGGGCACACTACCCTACAGAGACAGAGGGAGTTAGTTAGTCAGGGTCTGAGAGAGGCACACTACCCTACAGAGACAGAGGAGTTAGTTTAGTCAGGGTCTGAGAGGGGCCACTACCCTACAGAGACAGAGGGAGTTAGTTAGTCAGGGTCTGAGAGGGGCACACTACCCTACAGAGACAGAGGGAGTTAGTTAGTCAGGAGTCTGAGAGGGGCACACTACCCTACAGAGACAGAGGGAGTTTAGTCAGGAGATGAGAGGGGCACACTACCCTACAGAGACAGAGGGAGTTAGTTAGTCAGGAGATGAGAGGGGCACACTACCCTACAGAGACAGAGGGAGTTAGTCAGGAGATGAGAGGGGCACACTACCCTACAGAGACAGAGGGAGTTAGTTAGTCAGGGTCTGAGAGAGGCACACTACCCTACAGAGACAGAGGGAGTTAGTTAGTCAGGGTCTGAGAGAGGCACACCACCCTACAGAGACAGAGGGAGTTAGTTAGTCAGGGTTTTAGAGGGGCACATTACCCTACAGAGAGAGTTAGTTAGTCAGGGTCTGAGAGGGGCACACTACCCTACAGAGACAGAGGGAGTTAGTTAGTCAGGAGATGAGATGGGCAGGTGTCTGTGTTAGAGGTGTGTAGTTGTCAAGGCAGTGACTGGTTGGTACCTACTTTGAATTTGGGGCTGATCTTTTGGGGTTTGTAGCTGACGTTCAGGATAGGCACTTCCCCTTTGGAAGTAATAGAAAATGTTTAGGAAAAACGTACACAAAACATTAAGAACACCTTCCTAATATTGAGTTGCACCACCCCCTTTTGCCCTCAGAACAGCCTCACTTACATTTTTTCGTCTTGCCCATTCACCCTCTGAATGACACACATACACAATCCATGTCTTAATTGTCTCAAGGCTTAAAAATCCTTCTTTAACTTGTCTCCTCCCCTTCATCTACACTGATTTGAAGTGGATTTAACAAGTGACATCAATAATGGATCATAGCTTTCACCTGAATTTACCTGGTCAGTCTGTCATGGAAAGAGCAGGTGTTCCTAATGTTTTGTTCACTCAGTGTATAGTGGAGTACATGGTTCCAGCAATTAGACAATGTGAAGAGGAAATAAGTTGTCAAATGTTATTTACCCCCTTCATCTGGTTTCAGACGACCAGCCAGCATTCTGATGAACGTGGTTTTGCCCGTCCCTGAAAGGATTTAGAAATAAGACTCATTATATGGAACACACACCCCCTCTCCTCACACACTCCTCCACCATTCCATTCCCCCTCTCCTCACCATTCTCTCCCAGCATGACCATGATCTCAGAGTCGGTGAACTCTCCCTCCAGGATCTCCAGGGCAAAGTCTCCCATGTTCTTCTTCATGTGGGGGTACTGGTAGTGGCACATCCTCTTGATCTCTTCCTCGTTGGCCGTCTCTGCCACCTAGTGTTATATTACACAGTATTATCACATTATCTCTGCCACCTAGTGTTATATTACACAGTATTATCACATTATCTCTGCCACCTAGTGTTATATTACACAGTATTATCACATTATCTCTGCCACCTAGTGTTATATTACACAGTATTATCACATTATCTCTGCCACCTAGTGTTATATTACACAGTATTATCACATTATCTCTGCCACCTAGTGTTATATTACACAGTATTATCACATTATCTCTGCCACCTAGTGTTATATTACACAGTATTATCACATTATCTCTGCCACCTAGTGTTATATTACACAGTATTATCACATTATTTTAGTTTTCATAGATTATTATGAACTGGATGGGTCGAGCCTAAATACTGATTGTCTGAAAGCCATGGTATATCAGACCGTATACCACGGGTAAGACAAAAAACTACTTTTTACTATTCTAATTACGTTGGTAACCAGTTTATAATAGCAATAAGGCACCTTGGGGGTTTGTGTCATTCTGCGTTGCGTCGTGCATAAGAACAGCCCTTAGCCGTGGTATATTGGCAATATGCCACACCTCCTCTGGCCTTATTGCTTATTTTTATGACATTACCTTGAACACTAGCGATATCTCCCTGAAGCGCAGATTCTCCGTGGGAACATAGCCATCCAGGAAGATGTTGATGCCTGGAGAAGGGAGCGGAGGAGGACTGGGGTTAGAGGTGAAGCTGCCAAATGAACAGGACAGTTGTGCATTGGGAAAATATCCATTGGTTGTGGGATCATTTGGTTGTGGTGAAATGTTCCCCTGACTTAGATTTGGAAAAGCTGTGGTACCATTTTGAGGGTAAGTGAGAGGGGGGTGGTCTATGGGGTGTTGCGCTAGGCTAGGGGCTTAAGGCTTTCTTGAAATGTCTGTACCAGTTGGCTCTGCAGCAGACCCATGAGACAGAGTGTAGCCTGCCATGCACTGAGGATATGCTTTATCCATAGAAAACCTATTCAGTATCAATGCTAAAGAAAAAAAGAACAAAACTACTAAACATATCAATAGCCAGGGCATCATTGTGAATTAGAACGTGTTCTTAATTAACTGACTCACCTGGTTGAATAAAAGGTTAAATAAATAAAATAGGTAAGTAAGAGGGTGAAGAGGTCAGGGCCTAAAATTAACACCCGCCACCTGCCAAATGCGGGTAGATTTTGGCATTGGTCGATAAGTTGTCTATTTCACCAGCCACGTTTGCGGGTGGTCAGGGTTCCACAGGGCGAGCATTTCACTCACATTTGTGAATACAAATATTCAAGTATGATCACATTTATAGTAAAATAAATGCTGCAGTAGCTGTTTCCAAAGTATTTCTGCAGTTTTGTTTCATAGATGGTAATTTAATCGCACAAAGTCAAAGAACTACAAATCCTATATAGCCTATCCCACCTCGCATTGCAACACTGCCTGGCTGGGGGCTGTCGCACATGAAGAGTGAAAGATTCATTTTTAGAAGCGCTGTGCACAGGCATAAACGTTGGTCTAATTTACAGAAAAACGAAATTCTACTGACGTGAGACTTTATCCTTGTGTTTCTTGGCTACTTACATTGTTTTGTTCACAAGCTAGGTTGTTTTTCTATGTTTGCATTTCAACTGCTAGGGAAGAGAAGACAAGGCTTGTACTAGTCAGACTCAATCTCACAGGCATAAACATGACTGGAGTCACATTACCACGGTAACCTCCTGCCCTTAAAGGGGCAGGTGAAAAGACTAATGTCACAAAAAGTAATTATTCAATATACCACAAGTTACTTCTTACTAGTAATACCTTTATGGTCCTCTGTAGCTCAGCTGGTAGAGCACGGCGCTTGTAACGCCAAGGTAGTGGGTTCGATCCCCGGGACCACCCATACACAAAAACAAAATATGCACGCATGACTGTAAGTCGCTTTGGATAAAAGCGTCTGCTAAATGGCATATTATTATTATTATTTATTGCTTTAGAAACATTACAAAGCATGCTAATCTGTTTTTCTGTGTTTTGTTGGTGTAATTGTATCGACCCAAAACTATTTTGGCTGGTAAACAATCTGAGTGGCTGGTAGATTTTTAAATCTACCCGTCACAATGGCTGGTGGACCAAAAAGTTAATTTTATACCCTGGAAGAGGTAGTCACCTTCCCTGACTCCAAAGGGCATAGTGACCATTCCGTAGGCGCTGGACACTCCGTACAGACAGTGTAGTGTTTATGGTGTAGTATGTAGTGTTAGGGTCCTACCTTCCCTGACTCCAAAGGGCATAGTGACCACTCCATAGGCACTGGGCACTCCATACAGACAGCAGATGAAGTCAGACAGGTAGTCCAGCACACTCAGGTCGTGTTCCACCACTATGATGTATCTGGGAGAGAGAGAGAGAGAGGGCAAAATACAAGTCAAGAGTCTATAAGACAAGACAAAGCTGATGGAAGAATAGTGGATAATGTTGAAGTAGGCATAAAACCAAAGTAAACAGAGTGAAATAGGGAGGAACTACCAGGGTTGTGTTTAATAGGAAGAAAAACGGAAGAAAACTGAAACGGGGCGTTACTACCTGAATTTGTCCAATGAGAAACTCTTGTTTTTCTTTTTCTGTTGCAAAACGCTTTGCTACAGTATGCCCTTATGAACACGGCCCAGTCCTCTAGTGAGAGCATCATGTAATGTAACGGACCTGTCTGGGGAGATGAGGGAGCGGATGGTGACGGCAGCTCTTAGACGCTGCTTCACATCCAGGTAACTGGACGGCTCGTCAAACATGAAGCTGGAATGAACCACATAAAGAGAGCCGCGTTAAAAACCACATAACATATTCAGTCAAAGATGGCCTCCGCTGATGAGGCCAAAGACTAACTGAAGCTGTTGACTTACATGTCTGCTCTCTGGATGCAGACCACAGCGATGGCAAAGCGCTGCAGCTCTCCTCCTGATAGGTCCTCCACATTCCTCTCCCTGAGATGAGTCAGATCTGAGAGAGGAAAGAGATGAAATAATCTGCTGGCCAAATGGTATATTTTACTGACAACTTGACTGTAGAAGTGGGTCAAAAGGAACGTTTAACATAAATGGAAAATTAGGATTACATATAGACAAACATTAGATTATAGACTCGAAGAGAAGAAGACAAGGGGAGAACCCAATCCAAACGTACCAAGCTGCTCACAGACGATGGTCTCCGTCTTGGAGTCGTCTTTCCTGCTCAGAATGGAGCCCACAGTCCCCTGGTGGCGGAACACAGCACTACTGTTAGCTCGTCAGACAACAATTCAGTACAGATCTGTGTATCTGGAACGCACCCATTCTATCCCCTCATTTCTACAGGTCTGAACCCACACCCACGGGCTTGACTGACCTTGACAGTCTTGGGGATCTGGTCGACGTACTGGGGCTTGACGATGGCCTTCAGGTCATCCTCCAGGATCTTGGTAAAGTAGTTCTGGAGCTCAGAGCCACGGAAGTAGGTCAGGATCTCCTGCCAGTCTGGTGGAGCCTGGTGGAGGACCGGGAGAGAATGGAGCTTTTGAAACTAGGGATAAGTGTGATGTAACACAGCAAGGTGTTATAGTAACTAGTTGCATTTCAGTCATTTAGCTGACACTGTAAAGTCATTCAGCTGACATACAGTAGGGAGAACAAGTATTTGATACACTGCTGATTTTGCAGGTTTTCCTACTTACAAAGCATGTAGAGGTCTGTAATTTTTATCATAGGTACACTTCAACTGTGATAAATGGAATCTAAAACAAAAATCCAGAAAATCACAATGTATGATTTTAAAGTAATTAATTTGTATTTTATTGCATGACATAAGTATTTGATCACCTACCAACCAGTAAGAATTCCGGCTCTCACAGTCCTGTTAGTTTTTCTTTAAGAAGCCCTCCTGTTCTCCACTCATTACCTGTATTAACTGCACCTGTTTGAACTCGTTACCTGTATAAAAGACACCTGTCCACACACTCAATCAAACAGACTCCTATCTCTCCACAATGGCCAAGACCAGAGAGCTGTGTAAGGACATCAGGGATAAAATTGTACACCTGCACAAGGCTGGGATGGGCTACAGGACAATAGGCAAGCAGCTTGGTGAGAAGGCAACAACTGTTGGCTCAATTATTAGAAAATGGAAGAAGTTCAAGATGACGGTCAATCACCCTCGGTCTGGGGCTCCATGCAAGATCTCACCTTGTGGGGCATCAATGATCATGAGGAAGGTGAAGGATCAGCCCAGAACTACATGGCAGGACCTGGTCAATGACCTGAAAAGAGCTGGGACCACAGTCTCAAAGAAAACCATTAGTAACACACTACGCCGTCATGGATTAAAATCCTGCAGCGCACGCAAGGTCCCCCTGCTCAAGCCAGCGCATGTCCAGGCCCGTCTGAAGTTTGCCAATGACCATCTGGATGATTCAGAGGAGGAATGGGAGAATGTCATGTGGTCTGATGACACAAAAAATTGAGCTTTTTGGTCTAAACTCCACTCACCGTGTTTGGAGGAAGAAGGATGATTACAACCCCAAGAACACCATCCCAACCGTGAAGCATGGAGGTGAAAACATCATTCTTTGGGGATGCTTTTCTGCAAAGGGGACAGGACGACTGCACCGTATTGAGGGGAGGATGGATGGGGCCATGTATCGCGAGATCTTGGCCAACAACCTCCTTCCCTCAGTAAGAGCATTGTAGATGGGTCGTGGCTGGGTCTTCCAGCATGACAACGACCCGAAACACACAGCCAGGGCAACTAAGGAGTGGCTCCGTAAGAAGCATCTCAAGGTCCTGGAGTGGCCTAGCCAGTCTCCAGACCTGAACCCAATAGAACATCTTTGGAGGGAGCTGAAAGTCCGTATTGCCCAGCGACAGCCCCGAAACCTGAAGGATCTGGAGAAGGTCTGTATGGAGGAGTGGGCCAAAATCCCTGCTGCAGTGTGTGCAAACCTGGTCAAGACCTACAGGAAACGTATGATCTCTAATTGCAAACAAAGGTTTCTGTACCAAATATTAAGTTCTGCTTTTCTGATGTATCAAATACTTATGTCATGCAATAAAATGCAAATTAATTACTTAAAAATCATACAATGTGATTTTCTGGATTTTTGTTTTAGATTCCGTCTCTCACAGTTGAAGTGTACCTATGATAAACATTACAGACCTCTACATGCTTTGTAAGTAGGAAAACCTGCAAAATCAGCAGTGTATCAAATACTTGTTCTCCCCACTGTAATTATCCAGAGGGACTTCCAATAAGTGACTGTGTGATCCTTTAAACATTTTAAAGCCATATAATGTATTAGACATTTAGCTACATTCTCTACAAGTTTGTGTCATAAAACTAATAGTTACACACTTACATCATACTTTCCCAAATTAGGCTTCTGTTTTCCAGCCAAAATTTTCAGCGCCGTGGATTTCCCGATTCCATTGGTGCCCACAAGTCCCAAAACCTCTCCAGGTCTGGGAATGGGTAATCTGGAATGGAATATTGCAAAAGTACAGTCCATGGATTCAAGACAGAAACAAACGTTTATTGAGATTAGGCCTATTTGAGACAAACACAGCCCTCTTTACCTTGAAAATTAACCCACCTATGCAACTTGAAGGAGTTGGCACAGTATCTGTGAGTTGTCTCTTTCTCGAGGTTGCTTGGCAAGTTGACAATAGACAAGGCCCCAAATGGACATTTCTGGAAGAAAAAAGTAGTCAGTGCTAAGTGCCATGTAATCAGGACTGAAGGTAAATACATAAAGAAAAAACTACTCGTCCACATTTGTATCAACAGAGGGTCAGTCATTTTGTTACAATTTTACCTTGATACAGATGCCACATCCGATACAGAGTGATTCAGAAATCCACACAATTTTGCTCTGAGCTGTGACTTCTATGCACAGTTTGCCTGCAAGACAAAATGATTACAAAGATGGATGACAGTTGAGGCTTGAAAAAAGTAAACATGGACCATTTCAACTGTACATAACTTGAGGCATTATCTTTTAGGCTACTGCCTCAAGACTTGGAGGAATTAGTTATAGTGTATGTGTCAGTGATATTATAATAGGCCAAGATTCTCAAGTACTAGGTTCAGTACAGTAGGAAAGGATGCAACACAAGTCTTACCCATCCGAACCACAGGGCAACTCTTCTTGCACTCCTGCCGGCATTTCTTTGGCTTGCATTTGTCATGGTTCACAATGGCGATTCTGGTGTTTTTCTCCGACATTCTGCCTGCCTCTTGTCAACTCTTGGCGGAGCAGAATCCCTCCCCAGAGTACTGCAATACAGAGATATGACAGTTTTGATCAGACAAGACAAGGGTTAGGCCTGTAGTGTCTGCAGAGACAGTGAGTCAGATTGATAACAGTTTGGATGAATGAACACAGAAATGGCCTGTAAATTAGTATTTACTATGGATCCCCATTAGCTGCTACCAAGGCAGTAGCTATTCTTCCTAGGGTCCAGCAAAATTAAGGCAGTTATACAATTTAAAAAACATTACACTACATTCACAACACATTAAGTGTGTGCTCCAAATCTGGGGGAGGCAAGAAAGAAGAACGTATCTAGTTATATCTATCTCGTATCCATCTCCCACTTCGAGACAAGAAAGCGAGATGGATAACGTTAGTTACAACTAACGTTAGATAACTATTAACACTGGTAAATATGAAACAAGGATAGCCATCAACAAAGAGACGGAGACTGTCAAAGTGGCATCAACACTGCTCAGATAGCTAGATTAGCAAATCAGCCAACTAGCATTTAGTTTACCTTAGCTAGTTACATTACCGTTAGCTAGGGTCACTTAATCCAAATCAGCTGGAAATATTTGCGTTGGCTCACATTGTTAGCTATAAAAACTAGTTAGCCAGCTTACTAGTGTCAGTGAGCTATAATTAAACACCGGGTAACTTAATTGGCAGTTATAAACTATCAAATAAACGATCAGCTGTCATGTGAAATTAACAGAGGTGGCTGTGATACACTAGCTAGTAAGCTAACGTTAGCTAGCTAGTTGGCTAACGAACAGTGCTGACGTTTGTGCTAACTCTGTTAGCTAGCTAGCCAGCTGGACAAGCAGCCCATTAAAACATTATTTATTTGACAAGTTTGTAACTACTATCATTTACATTTTAATCCAACTCACCCAGAAACACTCTTCGGGTGATTCTGTCCTCCAGGAATGATACTTTAGGTTTTAAAGTGTCGTTTTACTACGGTGTTTCAAACAACGTGTTCTCAACGGGGAGCGAACGCCGGGAGAAAAATGGCGCTCCCATGCGTAAAGTTTGGCGACGTCCAGCTATGCGTCGCTGTGACGTAGGTATCCTACTACAATAAAAAGTGGGAGTAGGTTATTTGAGGTGATGGCAAAGCAGAACATCTGTTAGAAATTCCTAGAAAGAAATTGAAGGGTATGATCAGAAATGTTTAATTGAATTTGAGAGGCCTTCAATGTAAACTCAAGCTCATGTGTCATTTTACTTCTGTAAGATACAATGGCTTCATTTTCAACTTGGCCTTAATGAAAAGTCTGTCAATGGTTTCACCAAGCCATCAAATTAATAAAGGGGAAATATGTTACTTATCTAAAACAAGTTATTTTAACTACATAGGCCCATTGATGCTAAGATGTTTAGAAACATGAATCATACTGTATTTATCATATAGGAAAATTGCTTTTGAAGGCATCTCTGGCTGCAGTGCAACTGGTGTCTTCAATGTTGTGTCACATACTATATCAAAATGCAGAATGAGACAAAGTGTCTATTCTTAAACCACCATAGGCCTACTCAAATCAGATCAAATCAAATTGTATTGGGCCAAATCGTACTGTTACGCGGAGTGGAACGGGGGAACCCAAGAGCAGACTCAGACAAGGAGACTGGGATGAAGTAACCAAGGTATTTATTGAGACACAGTTGGAAGATGGAGTGCAGGTCAGGGGAAACTGCTGGAAACTAGGTGCAGAGGCTGCGGCTGGAGCGAGGGGGGTTGAGACAGGGTGAGCAGGTCCGGAGGGGAATCCAAGGGAGTAGTAGAGTGGGGAATCCAGGACAGAGTAGCAGGATGACGAGACGTGGGACTGGAGACAGGGACCAGAGTCAGAGCAGGCAGAACTGTAGCGGAGAGGAAAACAGCGTGAGGCAAGGAAAACAGGCACAACAGGATCTGTATCATTGTATGCTGTAGCGTTAAGATTTCCCTTCACTGGATCTAAGGGGCCTAGCCCAAACCATAAAAAACAGCCCCAGACCATTATTCCTCCTCCACCAAACTTTACAGTTGGCACTATGCATTGGGGCAGATAGTGTTCTCCTGGCATCTGCCAAACCCAGATTCGTCCGTCGGACTGCCAGATGGTGAAGCGTGATTCATCACTCTAGAGAACGCGTTTCCACTGCTCCAGAGTCCAATGGCAGCGAGCTTTACACTACTCCAGCTGATGCTTGGCATTGCGCATGGTGATCTTAGGCTTGTGTGTGGCTGCTCAGCCATGGAAACCCATTTCATGAAACTCCAGACGAACAGTTATAATATAATATAATATAATATGCCATTTAGCAGACGCTTTTATCCAAAGCGACTTACAGTCATGCGTGCATACATTTTTTTTTTTTTTGTGTATGGGTGGTCCCAGGGATCGAACCCACTACCTTGGCGTTACAAGCGCCGTGCTCTACCAGCTGAGCTACAGAGGACCACATTGTGCTGACGTTGCTTCCAGAGGCAGTTTGGAACTCGGTAGTGAGTGTTGCAACTGAGGATAGACAATTTTTACGCGCTACGCACCTCAGCACTCGGTGGTCCCGTTCTGTGAGCTTGTGTGGCCTACCACTTCGCGGCTGAGCCGTTGTTGCTCCTAGACATTTCCACTTCACAATAACAGCACTTACAGTTGACCGGGGCAGCTCTAGCAGGGCAGAAATTTGACGAACTGACTTGTTGGAAAGGTGGTAGGCAGTGTGCCTCCGATGATGCATTGGGAAGACCGCACCACCCATATTCAACTAATAAAATAATGGACGACCTGACCAGAGAGGTCCAGAACCTGAAGAACAGCTTGCAGTTCTCCCAGGGTCAGCTCGATGAGTTGAAACAGGAGAACGGCAAGATGACAGCAATCTGTAAGTCATTGAGAGAGGACATCAGTTCTGTGTGTGAATCCATGATAACAATGACGGATAAATCTCGAGGGACAATCAAGGTGGAATAACATGGTTGTGGACGGAATTGCAGAATCTCCATATGAGACCTGGACGGAGTCTGAGGACAAAGTGAGGGAAATTATCTCTGAGAAATTGAAGATGGACCACAGGAAGATTGAGGTGGAGAACGCCCACAGGACAGGAAAACCCACCACCGGCCCAGGTGACAGGCCCGATAGTGGTCAAGTTCCTGAGGTTCAAGGACAAGGTAGCTGTTCTGGAAAGAGCCAAGAACTTGAGAGGAACGTATATCTTCCTCAACGACGACTATCCTGAAGCTGTGCGCCGGAAGAGGAAATAACTTTTCCCATCCATGAAAGCTGCCAGAGCGTGTTCGGACATTGCTTACATCCGCTATGACAGGCTCATTGTCCACCCTCCCTCCCAGAAGCCTGGATGGGATGAGAGAGCCAAGCCTATGGGTTCGTAGCTTCAACCCTGCAGCACACACACACACACACCAATTGATTAATGGACTGTTGAATGTATATTTATTTTATCTTGCTTTGTTTGCTCTTTTCCATATTATGTCTATCTCTAATAAGCTACCCAGGAAAGGGCTGAAAATAGCCCATATTAATATTTGTAGCCTTAGAAATAAGGTTCATGAAATCAATAACTTGCTAACATCAGATAACATTAATATATTAGCCATTTCTGAGACTCACTTAGATAATTAATTTGATGATACAGCAGTAGCATTACAAGGATATAACATCTATAGAAGACACAAAAATGCTTATGGGGGAGGTGTTGCTGTATATATTCAGAGCCATATCCCTGTAATGCTTAGAGAAGATCTTATGTCAAGTGTTATTGAAGTGTTGTGGTTGCAGGTTCACTTGGCACATCTAAAGCCTTTTCTTTTGGAGTGTTGCTATAGGCCACCAAGTGCTAACAGTCAGTATCTAAATAATATGTGTGAAATGCTTGATAGTGTTTGTGATGTAAACAGAGGTCTACTTTCTTGGGGACCTGAATATTGACTGGTTTTCATCAAGCTGTCCGCTCAAGAGGAAGCTTCTCACTGTAACCAGTGCCTGTAATCTGGTTCAGGTTATTAATCAACCTTCCAGGGTGTTTACAAACACTACAGGAACAAGATCATCCACATGTATCGATCACATTTTTACTAATACTGTAGAACTTTGTTCTAAAGCTGTATCCGTACCCATTGGATGCAGTGATCACAATATAGTGGCTATATCCAGGAAAGCCACAATTCCCGAAAGCTGGGCCTAAAATAGTGTATAAGAGATCATACAAAATATTTTGCTGTGACTCTTATGTGGATGATGGTAAAAATATGTGTTGGTCTGATGTGATTAATAAGGAGCATCCAGACACTGCAGTTGATGAATTTATGAAATTGCTTCTTCCAATTATTGATAAACATGCACCTGTTAAGAAACTGACTGTTAGAACTGTTAGGGCTCCATGGATTGTGAGCCATCGTATTCATGCTAAAAATAAAAAAAATAATGAAAGAAAAGCATTGCAAGTTTGAATTTTGTAAAGTTAGTGTGGGAGAGGTGGAAAAATGATTGTTATCGATCAATAATGACAAACCTCCTGGCATTGACAACTTAGATGGAAAGCTACTGAGGATGGTAGCTGACTATAGCCACGTCTATCTGTAATATCTTTAATCTGAGCCTAGAGGAAAGTCTTTGTCCTCAGGCCTGGAGGGAAGGCAAAGTAATTCCGCTACCCAAGAGTGGTAAACCGGCCTTTACTGGTTCTAACAGCAGACCTATAAGCTTGCTGCCAGCTCTTAGCAAACTGTTGGAAAAAATGGTGTTTGACCAAATTTTTTACATTTACATTTTTAGTCATTTAGCAGACGCTCTTATCCAGAGCGACTTACAGTTAGTGAGTGCATACATTTTTATTTTTTATACTGGAATCGAACCCACAACCCTGGCGTTGCAAATGCCATGCTCTACCAACTGAGCTACATCCCTGCCGGCCATTCCCTCCCCTACCCTGGACGACGCTGGGCCAATTGTGCGCCGCCCCCCCACAATGCTATTTCTCTGTAAACAAATTAACAACAGACTTTCAGCCTGCTTATAGAGAAGGGCACTCAACATGTACTGCACTGACACAAATTATTGATGATCGGTTGAAAGGAATTGATAATAAGAAGATTGTGGGAGCTGTACTGTTAGATTTCAGTGCAGCCTTTGATATTATTGACCATAACCTGTTGTTGAAAAAACTTGTGTTATGGCTTTTCAACTTCTGCCATATCGTGGCTTCAGAGCTATCTATCCAATAGAACTCAAAGGGTTTTCTTTAATGGAAGCTTCTCTAATGTCAAACATGTAAAGTGTGGTGTACCACAGGGCAGCTCTCTAGGCCCTCTACTCTTTCTATTTTTACCAATGACCTGCCACTGGCATTGAACAAAGCATGTGTGTCCATGTATGCTGATGATTCAACCATATACGCATCAGTAACCACAGCTAATGAAGTCACTGAAACCCTTAACAAAGAGTTGCAGTCTGTTTTGGAATGGGTGGCCAGTAATAAACTGGTCCTGAACATCTCTAAAACTAAGAGCATTGTACAGTGCCTTGCAAAAGTATTCATCCCCCTTGGCGTTTTTCCTATTTTGTTGCATTACAACCTGTAATTTAAATGGATTTTTATTTGGATTTCATGTAATAGACATACACAAAATAGTCCAAATTGGTGAAGTGAAATGAAAAAAATAACTTTTTTCAAAAAATTCTAAAAAATTAATGACGGAAAAGAGGTGCGTGGATATGTATTCACCCCCCTTGCTATGAAGCCCCTAAATAAGATCTGGTGCAACCAATTACCTTCAGAAGTCACATAATTAGTTAAATAAAGTCCACCTGTGTGCAATCTAAGTGTCACATGATCTGTCACATGATCTCAGTATATATACACCTGTTCTGAAAGGCCCCAGAGTCTGCAACACCACTAAGCAAGGGGCACCACCAAGCAAGCGGCACCATGTGACCAAGGAGCTCTCCAAACAGGTCAGGGACAAAGTTGTGGAGAAGTACAGATCAGGGTTGGGTTATAAAAAAATATCCGAAACT